CCTGCAATAAAATCACGATAGACTGATTTGTAACTCGTTTCAGCTGGCAATAATGTAAGCGATTGAGTAATGCGATTGACATTTCTACCAGGACTTGGTAATCCATGTATTTCAGCATAATTTTCGAGAAAATTCTTCACGGAGGTAGCAACGGTTATATCAATTGTTATTTTGGTTTTCCATCGCGGCACTCTTTTTACATTACCATGAACGCGCGGTATTATACCATTCGTCGCTAGGTGATTTCTGACGTTTTCGAAGTGAGTGCGACCAATTCCTAACACATTAAGATACGTTTTCTGACAAAGTGGCGTATTGCGATCTCAATAATAAAACGTTCGCTTATTAGTACGCGTTTTCTTTTTAAGACGCCGACTGGCAGTTATTTCTCCACCATTCATTGCTTTCAGTTGGGCCATTAAATATATGTCTTGCTCGGATCTAGAGAGGGCTTGAAACGCCTCACGTAATTCGGCAAACTTTTCTCTTGGAATTATTTTTGAACAACCACAGTTGCAACCTGTCTCCAAGAAACGTATTGCTTTTTCATATTCGGTTGAACCGTTATAATTATAATTTTCCACATATGGGTATTCATATATATAATTTTTATCATTTGTAACTATACACTGATTCTCTTACGAAGAACTCTTCACGAATACAACGATAAAAATATACATCTGTAAACGAAGACATTTATTATGCAAGAAACAGATTAAAAGCAAAGACAATAAACTGATATAATTTGTAGGACATTTTCTACGAGTATATTTCAAGTAAGCTACCCGTCAGTAGCATCTGTGTAAAGCGAACTGAGAAATGAAAAATGATAATTGTAATGCAAAGACGAAACAATCAGCAATTAAAATAATGCAATGTATATGTGTTCCCCTTTAAAATCTTATTTGACTCTTTCTACTGATACTCTCCCATGAGCTGAACCTCAACTTTTCCATCCTTATCTTCTATTATAACTGACTTCCAATTCTCCTGGCAATATACATTTATCCAATGATAATCACCACTATACTTTGGTTTTTCATTATGAAGATCAGGACATCGAATGTCAATGATGACCCGTTCATTGGATACATTCCTGATAGATTCATAGATACCACCTGGTTCGAAGCAACTCTTGTGGCCAGACGCATCTGCACCATCCTGTAGTAACTCGATTACCCAGCTTCAGCCGTCATCCACAAAGAAATCCACATATCCACTTGACCCCCAATATGTTCCAACATCAGCAGAAATGAATATGTCAGGAGGTAGGACTTGAGTAGCGGCTCGGTAAAATTCCATTTGCCAAGCATGCTCCAAAAGCTGCTCGTCTTTACCAACAGAATATGATTTCCATATAGTCTCAGCATTCATGTTGGTGAAGGTTCCAAGGAGGAAGCTTTTGAAATCTTCAGGAGGAATCATTGACCTAGCAGTGTTTCCCCAACGCTGCTGCAGATAAAGCGCGCGCAGGTAGGGTGAAGCAAAATCGAGTTTCCCGTCTTGTTTGCTGAGTAAGTTTGTCTTGACTAGCCTTACCTCTTTTCCGGATGTGTTATTTGGCAGTCTGATATCAATGGGTTCTCGGAATACCCTATCACAAAGTTGAGTTTCCTCTGGAGTCAAATTTTGCATATGTAAATACCCATGAAAGCCCTGCAATAACAGGATTAATAAGTACAATGATAAAATCCTTTTCATAGTGCAAAATGAAATTGAAAAAAACACTTGCTGAATCTACTGCCCTCATAAATGTATATGACTTCAAGTACAAGAAAATCCTTTCAAATGTCAACGTATCATCATATTTCAGTTGTGGGAGGAAATAATCTCTAATATGATTCATGAAAAACACGACAAGTCCAGGGTGACGAGCTGTTGTGTTGTGTACGTATTCCTGTAAGTACGTAACATCTTTTTTATCTTTCACTTTTCCGAGATGTGTTCTGCAGAAGCGCAAAAAGTAATCTTCATATTCATCCTTAGTGAAGCACACATCTTGTATGCTCCATGTGCTCTCAATTGCAAACGGTGACACATCTACTGTGCGAGTTGCAACAGATGAACAATCCCATGCACCCTTGTAGCCATATGCAGCAAAGGCAACAATATACAAGTTACCGCCCTGCTGGCACCACTTAAAAACTTCCCAAAAGACATTGCCATTGTGATGTGAAGCACTCTCAGGTTCACATAAAGCATCTACAATTCACCAATGTTAGAATCCATATTAATTCAAAGTGAAGAAATAAACTTTCATACCTGAACTTCATCAACAATAAATATAGTCTGAATGTGATCGCACTCATCTTGAAATTTTTCCCAAGTTATACCCATAAGTCACTGAAACCTTCCTTCGAATGTCCAGGATCCACTAGGGATGCCCATCCATAAGAGCAAGATGCGAATGACTTGAATGTTGGGATATTTAATAATTGGTCAGCATAAAGAATGCCTTTCTCCACCCGTCAAGTGCCGAATTCTCAAAAATAATGAAAAATCCTTGGTGGGAAAAGCCTACTATTTTTGTGATTTGAAAGGTTGGAAAATAAAGAGCCCGCTTCGGGGAATTATTAGCAAAATTTATCCAGGGCCATCGTCTTTACATTCGTTCTGGTTCTATGGAACGGTTTAGCTCTCCCAACCCGCGTTTTTGGACGGCCCTTTTGTTGATTCCCTTCAGTTCCCATGTACAAATGTATGGAGCAATTTTTTCTCCTTGGGCTTTCTTTAAAATGCTTCTAATAGTGCTGTAATTCTTTGGTTCCATAGTGGATTTGATGTAAATTAGTTTCATATTAATATTTTTTATATAGGGATAATCCTATATTAATCATGTTATGGTTTATATTCATCACATTCTGGTATGATAAAGTGAACATTAAAATTAAAAAGTCTAAAAGTTATGAATGAGCACTATTATTACTTTTTCAAAAGTCATCAGTCAATTTTACAGCCACATCATAATCAGCCTCTCATTTATGTCACATACTAGAATGTTCACTTTGTCTGGTTTTGTTGCAGTCTGCCCCATTTAAGATTGGGCAGTTCAAATTACTCAATTATTGATGCCCATTATAATAAGCCACTTCAAACTTGAGCAAATTCATATACCAATACCTCAAACACCCCCATTTAAAGAGGGTGTTGTTGCAGATATCAATCATCAAGTCAGTGATTGGAATATCCAAACTCAGCTTGTCGCTTGCTCTCAATGAGTTTCAATTTTGCCACAATTACCAGAGGAAAAAACATCAGGGCTCCTGATGTATACCCCCGGACAAAATTACAAGTACAAGACGAAATTTACTAGTAAAACATATGAAATAGAAAACCTTTATTTTCGAAACCTCTATTACTATTGTCTATGAACACTATGTAATTGTCGAGCCAGCTTGCACCTGGGAGAGCGGCGGTGCACAGCCTTGATATTTAGTCCTTTTCCGACGGAAGCTTAAATACGAATGACAATTAGTGACCTTTAATTAGGATTTATACTCTCGATTTGTATATTGTCGGTCTTGTATATGTCCCTAGATTATTGTTTAACCTCGAGTAACACTTCGATTTCTTTGATGGGTTAATCTCAAAGCCTATCGGTCGGAGAATTTATTTTATCTAAGAGTACTAATACGGTATCATTAAACAAAATAAAATTGATTGGCAAGTATCCAATCCTATTCACCGATGACGCGCTAACGACGCTAAGTATCTCTTATCAGGGAGATAATCGAAAATAACAATGTTCATAATTAAATAGGATCTTTATTAGAATAAAATGAACTATCCTAATAGCAACGTCTTGCTGAAGACACTATCTGTTCCCAAGGTGATTTTTAGCTACTGACTACGACTCGTATTTATAACTAATTACCGTTTCACTAAACTGTGGGATAAATGGTGTCTGTCGAGAAATTTCGATATATTAGGACTAGCTGTCAAGAATTCCGTTCTGGTGATATTTCTGCGCTGATCTGCACTGCGCAGATTAGCCTCACGTGATAAATCTTTGAATCATATAACAAGCGATCACATATCAAAAAGATAACCTATTCTACTCACCTCACCTTAGCGTTTCGAGTGTCGAATCCGCTCTAGCGGACTAGAAAAAATGATATAAACATTACTGTTAGACTCCATTATTCGACTATTATTGGAAAATTCTAGATCCGTGTGATGTAACACAATAAACGTTGAGAATTATGCTCTCCATGATTGTACTTGAAAACTTGTTATTCAATCGATGTCATTAGTTTCAGGAATTAATAATCCAGCAATTGACAACTTAGTTCAATCCTCCTTACCAAATGTATATGGTGAAAGAATTGAATGGATTCATTACGAGGAAATCAACATAAAGCCAACTAACATTGACAACGTCTATTATGCTGTTCACAATGATTGCGTGATAATACTGGTATTCCTTGGAAGCAACGAAGAATGTACAACAACACTTGTGAGTGAGTTTGCCAGAATATTCTCACTTCCAACACACAAGCAGGATAGCAATAGTGACAATTTCAAAAGATATTCCACATGGCTTGAGGGGCGCAACAAACTCATAAAAGGATTCGCCGGGTATGATGGCAACTATTATATGGTTGCTGGTAGGATGTTTTACCATTGTTATTCCCGCTATGGGCTCTGCACTGCATGTGGAATACTCCGATGTAGTCCTGTGTGGTGCATCTGTGGACATAAACAATTATCCAATGGGTGGACTAGCAACAATAAGCAACTCGATGAGTTTATTAAGAAATCTCAACTACAAACAAACTCACCAAATCATGCCTA